TCTTCCGAGTCGGGTATGAACCTCGCGACGGCGTTAGCGGCGGAGAGACACTACCGCACGAGAGAGACGGAGGAGGGGCAGACGCCGATGACGCCGTTAAGGGTGTCGTTAATGAGACTGCTGGAGGAAACGGCGGAGAGGGGTGAGACGGAGACTGAGACGGAGAGATTAACGGCGTCAACGGGGACGAGTAATGATTCGGTGTGCTGCGTGTGCATGGGAAGGAAGAAAGGAGCGGCGTTTATCCCATGTGGCCACACTTTCTGCAGAGTGTGTTCGAGGGAGCTGTGGCTCAATCGAGGGTCGTGTCCGATTTGCATCCGTCCGATCATCGAGATCCTCGACATCTATTGAACGATCGGACGGTCAATAATGTGCAGTGCACGTGATAACGATGGGGGAGCCGGGAGGTGGTGCCCTAGGGATTCACGAGGCGTTATACACAAAATTTAATTACGCTTTGTACGTTTACTTTCTCTCTTTTTGGGAACGGTAATACCAAAAAGAAAAGTTAATGCGGATTTTTTCCATAATTATTATTATTATAATGGTGTTATCTCGTTTACCAAAATCGTTACAATTAATATTCAAGAATACGAAACCTATTGAAAATCTTGGAAAACGGGAAAAAAAAACTCGAGATTTCCTATCTAAACCAAGAATGGAATATGAACCGGTTTATTTATTATTCTGAACCGGTCGGTTTACAAGCCGGTTATCTTACACAAACACGTGCAGTATCGTAAAAGCCCTTGCTTTCTTCTCAATTCATTCACACGTGAAGAAAAACGTCCGTTCTATCGTGTAAGATGAATGAAATCCTACAGCCGAGACACGAACAAATCAGAACAAACCTCGTAGAAGATGTCGAGAATCACAGGCCGAAATTCTCGAGGATTCATCGACAGATAAGATTCCAATAGGCTCCTCAGTTCTTCTGCGTCATTGATACGGTTTTCTATGATCATCTCAGCCATGGAATCTCTGAAGTCCTCTCGTGGGTCGTACGAAAACTTCTCCATCGCCATCATCACGATGAACTTAGTGCTGCTTCCTTCACTTCTTCTCCTTGTTCTTCCCCTCCCCATTTTCCTATGCCTTAACTTCTCCTGGTGGGTTGCTTCTTGTCTTTGGTCTCTGATCATCTGGTCGAGCTTCTCTTGGACCATGTAGTGTGTTAGACTGGAAAGCGACCCGTGTTGGTCGGAGAATCTCTCTGAAGGTTCTTCCGAGGAGGAGGAGGAGGAAGATGATGAAACGCTGAACCTTGTGTTGGTGATGCAACAAAGGGATCTGCAGATTCTGGTCTCTCTTTTTCGTCTGGTGGGTTTCTTGTTGCAGTTGCAGCTTTGGCTGTGTTCTTCTTGGCCTCTCCTCATATCTTTTATGCAACATATAGCGAGGGGTTTTTGGAGGGACATTGATGGTGTTTGTAAAGAGATTCATATATCATTTTTATGCACAATTGGTAAGGTGGGTCCATGCTCGAAATGATCATGTCCTGATTCTTGATTCAAAAGAAGTTTATTCTAATCTTAGCCATACATAACTTCAAACCTATCCACACTTAGCCCAATTGAGACTTATGAATAACTAAAGAATCACTTTTGAAGCATTTGTTTATATCAAATCTAAAGGAGGGAATAATTGATAGGGGGAGATTAGATGTATGATTAAATGCATGCATTCTATTAGTATATTGTATATGTATATATTGGGAAATGTGATTATGGTGTGCATGTAGACCATTGGAGAATATGAGATGTCAAGCTACTTTTTTCTTCTCCTCTCCTAAAGTGTGTGGTAATATGGAAAAGTCTATGAAAAGGCTTTTAAAGGAACTAAAGAGAGGAAGCAAGAGGCTGAGCTAAATTTGAGGCTTTCACATGGCTATGGTGGTGACTATTGCATTGATGGGTTTTTGGCAAAGCAGAGATTGTTTAGCTTAGACTGTGAATGATTTCTTGTAATAGATGGACTCTAGATATTCTTTTATATATATATATATATATGATTCACATTGTTCCATTTACATTAACAATATATAGATAATTAAATGGCATCTGTATATGCATATATGATCATCAATTAATCTGTATATTTATTTTTTAAAAATCACAAGATTTATGGTTTTTCTAGCATTCACAGCCTTTTGCAATCCCTCTCTGACTTACATATTGGAGTTCAGTAAAAAAAAAAAGATATATGAAATTTAGTTTTGCATTTGGTGGTGCCATGTTCTTAAATGTTGTTGCTACCAAGTATGTGTTTTTTTTTTCAATAAAGTCAATATCATGACAAAAAATAATTGTAATAATATCATATTTTATCCCAACATTATCCATTTTCCATGCAAAAAAAAAAAAGAGTGGTTTGTGCAATTATAAACAATGAGAGGGGTTAAATGGGCACACAAAGACACAAACTGTGTCATGCATTGGAGACAAGGCATGCTTTACCTTTGCTGTCTTGTACCTCTACTTTTATTGTCCTTTCCATTCTTAATTAATTTTTAAATAAAATCTTTATATACTAAAACCATCTATTTTCTAATTACATTTAAAAAAAAACACGCGAAAGATCATAAATTTTAATTCAAGTTTGATTTCTTTCTATGTGGATTTAATATACTAATTACACCACGTGTTGGATCAAGTGTCTTCAATTTAACTGCGAATGTGTTTATAGCTTGAGTTCCATATATATGATCAAGTGAATTAATGAAAAATTGAATCTTAAAAAGGGAAAATCCAATAATTGAGGAGATAAGCCCCTCGAATTCGTAATTAAACAGCTGGATAGGATCCCTTTGTGAGATTCTAGCATGTTGGTTTAGAATTGGGTCGCATAGAAAGAGCATTTGTCATGTGATACTATCCGTTTTTTTTATATATATATACATACATATATATATATATATGATAGTTTTTATAATTTTTTTTAAAAAAAATGGAAAAGGTAAAGAAACTAATTGATGAGTTGATGTAAATGTACTGAGAGAAGTACCTACCAACTTGCTCGGCTGACACACAAAGCACATGATGGTATGATGATGGTCCATCATATCTTATATTTTGTTGTAATAATCCATAGCACATAATTATTTGTCGGTTTGGTTATCTCTGCATAATTTCTAAAATTCCGGTTATCTGATCCCGAACCAAATCAAACCAACCGAGTAGAATATGGGCCGAGTTAAGCCCAATCAAATGTGGAAGCCCAAATCAAAGCTTTCAATACGACGTCGTAATTAAAATTAAAAAGGCCCACAAAAATATAATGTTTTAATTAATCATTGTATAATCTAAGCCTCTCCACAGAAACACAATAAGCAAATATATTGTCGAACTCAAATTATTTTATATATTTTGGATTTGTAGGATTGAGGATTGAAAATTTAAATTTTGTATTATTCGGAAAAGTAAATTGAATAATTCAAATTTAATCCATTGTTTTTTTTTTCTATTTAAATTATTGCTTCCCGTCGCATAATGCATTTCACGAGTACTCGGATTCTGGATGATCAGAGTTTATCGGGTTTTTTTTCCTGATCTATCTAGGGTTTTGATTTGAGATTTCTATCTGATCTCGTGTTCTACTTCAATTGCTATGGCGATCGTATTCGTAATCTGTCTTACAAATCGCGCGGTTTTGGCGCGCCTTTTAATTTTCCTGTCATGTTCTTCGTTTTTTTCATGTTCAGGTTCCGACATGAGAGACTTGCCTTGTAGCATGTTTCTTTTTTTTGTATGCCCACTGATGTTGATGTTGCAGCAAAGAACGAACCTTTTTTTATGTTGAAGATGACATGGAAATCATCGTCATCGTCGTCATCGTCATCTGCAACTTCTATGTCGGCGTTCTTGTATGTCAACTCTTGAGCCCTGAAGACATTCCTAGGTCAAAGTTCTTCTCGCATGTCTGACGATAACTCATAATGGTTCATTTCGTTTGTATGTTCATTGTCTTTTTAAACCTTTCAGGTATGATATTAACAGGACATTTCAGATTCATTCTGGAAACATGGAGAAAGACGAAAGAAGACGATTCGATTCCTTTTGGGATTTTGATGGGCAATGTCCCACACCAGAGGAAAATCAGGTCGGTGAAAAAAAATTCCTCCCTTTCTGGGTTTCTTTGATGACTGTTTGCTCGACTCAAAGGCCACATTTTACAGTATATGATCAATCACTATATACTGATGTATCGTCGGTATCATCCTTTTTCCTCCCAAGATTTCCCCTGGTATATTGGAATCTGATTCCTTATATCACTTCTTCTGCATCACATTCCTGAATTCACATAATCGGGAGTTTCAATTTTAGCTTAGTGTTAAAAACAAGTTTTCAAGTCAAGAACTTGTCTCTACTTCTCTTGATATATACAATGGGACCCTCTCGAGGGTGCTTGTCATTATTCTCTGATGAAATTGCATACCATTTCTTGGACCCATTATTCAGATTTGACACCTTATCTCAAAGGATAATAATAAAGCAATCAGTTAACATTATTTATTTGTGGTAATCCTGATATCTTCCTACAAATTTAAAGGTGTTCCCCACCAAAGCTGTCCATATTTCGCTTCCAAAGCAGCTTACTCTTTGACGAGGAGGACCACCATTATGTACTATGACTTGCATTGCATAACCACAAACTCCTTCATCACCGCCATTATAACATCACCACCAACCATAGCCTCTCTCTCTCTCCCTTTTATTAGCTCATAGAGTTTGTTGTCCAGACAACAAATATAATGGAGCTGAAGTTCACAGCATCTAACTCCCACTTATTCTCAGACATGAAGCACTGGCGTTCTCATCAGCACCCAGAGAAAGGGAAAGGAGAAGACGACGCTTCTTCTCTCAGCTTGAGCAATTTGTCAAAGCTCATTCTCCCTCCTCTTGGTGTTGCAAGCTACAACCAGAATCACATCAGCTCGAGCGGATGGATCATCTCACCAATGGATTCCAGATACAGGTACACACACATATATATATATATATATATTCTTCATATATGCCACATATATAACGCCATACACTTACAAATATTCTGTTCTTACCCAATATGAACCTTATTCACATGCTGTATGTATTCCTCAAACGTTCATTTTGCCCGGTGATTATGAAAAACTCATTCCCATCTCTGGCGTTGATGAATGATTTCGATTTCAAAATCTGAGATGTGATCTAGTCATCCTGCAAAAAGGGAAACCTTTGTGAATAGATAGTGACATGTTTATTGAAGTATTCAGATCACATTAACCACAAAACGCAAAAAAAAAAAAAAATGGAAACTTTTTAGTGTGGGGATGACTAATTAGTCATATGTTTGAATGACGCAGGTGCTGGGAGTCGTTTATGGTGCTTTTGGTTGCATACTCTTCGTGGGTTTACCCCTTTGAAGTCGCCTTTCTAAATTCTTCACCGAACAGAGACCTGTATATCGCAGACAACATCGTGGATTTGTTTTTTGCCGTAGACATTGTCTTGACGTTTTTTGTCGCGTTCATAGACCAAAGAACTCAGCTTCTTGTCCGTGAACCCAGAAAGATTGCGACAAGGTCAGTGTTTTATTTTTTCATTTTTGTTCATCAATCATTGTGTCATGTCTCTCTTCTTCATGGTAGGTTTGGTTAAATCTTCTTCTACTGATTTCTTGTTTTAAATGAAAGGGGACAAGGTTTAGGTGATTTGGACCCATTCACCACTTTGTTGTGATTTTCCTTTTACCCTGCTTTTAATATGTTCTTAGTTAGTGGAAGAGAGGTTTCTGCTTCAAGAAGGCAAATTGACTATATTTGACTAGAAAATCAAGAAAAGACCCATTACCAATTCTGGAAACAACAAAGAAAAGATTCTGAATTTAATATTAGCTGAAAGTAATCGAAACTGTATTTTAATTTTCATGAAAAGGTACCTCTCGACCTGGTTCTTGATGGATGTGGCATCAACTCTACCTTATGAAGCAATTGGATACTTGGTCACTGGCAAACCGAATCTGAGCATCTCTTGCTCACTCCTTGGATTGCTCAGATTTTGGCGAATCCGACGTGTCAAGCATCTCTTCACAAGGTAAGTTTCTCAGCTCGAACCATTATCTTACCGCTTACCGGCCAAACCTGTTCAAGTTAGTGAAAGAGCATCGAATGGCTTCTGTCTTCCTGTCTTTTCAGGCTCGAGAAGGACATCCGGTTCAGCTACTTCTGGGTCCGCTGCCTCCGTCTTCTATCTGTGAGTGACAAGAAATGCTTCTTACTTGGAAGAATTGCCATGTAAATAAACATGACATCTTAAACATGGTAGTATAGATATGAGTTGAAACTCTTAATACATGCAATGATTGTCCAGAAAGTTGCTCAGAAGGATAATATGTAATTCATCTAGAATGAAATATGCTCAGAAGGATACTATGTAATTCATCTAGAATGAAATATGACGAAACGGGCACATACAGGTGACGCTGCTTCTGGTGCATTGTGCCGGTTGCCTCTACTATCTATTGGCTGACAGATATCCACACCAGGGAAAGACATGGATAGGAGCAGTGATCCCGAACTTCAGAGAGACGAGTCTTTCGGTAAGATACATCTCAGCCATTTACTGGTCTATCACCACAATGACCACTGTGGGCTATGGAGATCTTCATGCAGTCAACACCATGGAGATGATATTCATCATATTCTACATGCTCTTCAATCTCGGCCTCACTGCTTACCTTATAGGTAACATGACTAACTTGGTTGTGGAAGGGACTCGTCGTACCATGGAATTTGTGAGTCTCCTTTCACTGTTTTTGTAATATTTCGGAAATTTTCCTCCTTTATTCCCAGGTGTGCTGTATTGTGTTCTTACGGAGCTGGGTGTTGTGTAATGCAGAGGAACAGCATTCAAGCTGCATCGAACTTTGTTTGTAGAAACCGTTTGCCGGCTAGACTGAAAGAGCAGATATTGGCTTACATGTGTTTGAAGTTCAAAGCAGAAAACTTGAACCAGCAACACCTGATTGAGCAGCTCCCTAAGTCAATCTACAAAAGCATCTGCCAACATCTTTTTCTTCCGTCGGTGGAAAAGGTCTATCTCTTCAAGGGCGTCTCACCGGAAATACTGCTTCTCCTGGTGTGTTATTCTTCTCGTTCTCTCACATAACTCACATAAACAATGGTGTGATCAAGTAGAACACGGAACCAGACAGGATAAACAGGACATGAAAACATGAAGAAGAAGGAATCTTGATCACAGTTCTTATCACCTGGTATTGTCATATGGGTATTACTTTACTAGGTCTCGAAGATGAAGGCTGAGTACATACCACCAAGAGAGGATGTCATAATGCAGAATGAATCGCCCGACGATGTTTACGTAATCATTTCGGGGGAAGTAGAAATCGTTGACTCTGAAATGGAGAGAGAGAGTGTCTTAGGCACTTTACGATCTGGAGACATATTTGGAGAAGTCGGAGCTCTGTGTTGTAGACCTCACAGCTTCACTTTCCGGACAAAGTCACTTTCACAACTCCTCAGACTCAAAACAACTTCCCTTATCGAAACAATTCAGACAAAGCAGCACGACAATGTCACCATGCTCAAGAACTTCCTTCAGGTATTTTTTTCCCACTTGTCTTAACGTTTGATACTGTTTTCTTTTTTGTGACGACGAAGTAACAACATCGTAAATCTGTATTCAAGCATCACAAAAAGCTCAATGATTTAAACTTCGGGGAACAGCTGGCGGAAGGTGGAGAAGAGGAGGAGAGTGATCCAAACATGGCGTCGAATCTGTTGACTGTTGCAAGTGCAGGCAATGCAGCTCTTCTTGATGAGCTTCTGAAGGCTAAGTTGGACCCTGACATCGTTGACTCCAACGGAAGAACTCCATTGGTAAGTCTTGCTGATGTAATCATCGTCATGGTCATCCTTGTCATGGTCATTATCATCATCATCTTCATCTTGGTCATTGCAATCATGATTCTTCTTGTTTGCATGCATGTGTCAGCACGTAGCAGCTTCCAAAGGATTTGAAGAGTGTGTTTTAATACTCCTAAAGCACGGATGCAACATCCACGTAAGAGGTACGCAAATGCAGCATATACATACATATATATATGGATATATAGATAGATACATATACACACATGTACTCGATACTTCATTCTTTGCACACACGATGCGGAAATCTTGCAGATGTGAACGGAAACACGGCTCTGTGGGAGGCAATAACATCGAAAAACCACGCCATCTTCAGAATCCTTTACCATTTCGCTGCCATATCCGACCCTCACGTAGCAGGCGACCTTCTATGCGCCGCCGCAAGACAGAACAACCTCGAAGTAATGAAAGATCTTCTGAAACTCGGACTCAACATCGACACAAAGGACCACAAGGGCTTCACGGCTGTACAGGTTGCCATGGCGGAGAATCACATGGACATGGTGAATCTGCTCGTGATGAGCGGCTCAGACGTGATCGGCCTCAACACTTGTGAGTTTTCTTCCTCGACCTTCGACGAGATGATGCTCGAGAGAGAGGCGAGGAATCGGACTAACGTACAAGCCGGGGAAAAGCGCGCGAGAGTGAGTATTTTCAGGGGACATCCATTGGAGAGGAGAGGATTAGGGTTTGCAGAATATGGGAAGCTTATTATGTTGCCCTCTTCACTTGACGAGCTCAAGAAAATTGCAGGTATGGAGACTTTCTTTTTTCTCCATTGTTAGCTGAAACCGATTTTCGAATTGGTCGGTTCTTGCCTGAACCGGAAAACGAAGTACCAAGACGTTCTCTGAATACCGGGGCTCGGTTGAGTGACCGGTTAGGGATTATTAATTGATGGGTTTAAATGATTGATGGTGTAAACAGGGGGGAAGTTGGGGTTTGATGCAAGTGGGGCTATGGTGACGGATGAGACCGGAGCGGAGATCGACAGTATAGAAGTGATTAGAGATAATGACAAGATTTACTTAGTGGAAGAAGATAATTAATCAAAGTATCATTTGATTTGATGTTGCACCGTTTGCGAAAATGTTTTATTAAAAAAAATCCGCGTAGATCAAATATGGTCTTTGCAATTTGTAACCTCATACGACGTTCCATATGTTACTTGCAAGCTGTCATACGGAATTGTGAGTCATTAATGTATGTGCATAAATGGCTTTGACTAACCATAATAATAATAATAAAATTTCCTTTGTCTATACAAATAATAGAACATTACTAATTTTGTGGAATATGATTAAAAAAAAAATTGAGAACCCCATTTTACTATTACTGTGCATTATTGAATTGCGTGGACATTCCATGTATTATATCACAAATCTAATAGTTATATATATATATATATATATAAGAAATTAAGGGAGGGGGGTTGAATGATTGTGCCTTGTTTGGTCTAAAAAACCATCATTTAAGTCCCTTTTTTCCTTTGAATAAACTTCTCCCACGGAAAGCTTTAAATGAATGTGTTGCATTGCATCCATAATTCACCCACATCACATTTACTATCCCTACCAAACACCTCTTCTGCTCTCCACCAATCCCCGAGTCTTTCGATTTTGCTCCCCGTTCTCTTTTTTTTTTTGATAATCGGGTGATCCCAAGCCCAAAAGCCCAAACTAATTCCGATCCACGCGCACGACTCTCCAACACACACGTGGGATGTGAAACACCCGAAGGTGGCAGGAGGGGAATCTCCATACTCTGGGTGTTGAACCCACGACCTCGTTTACAGGAAGTGGTTCACGGAGTTGGAATTCCTCTCCTTCTCTCTCTTTCTTACCTAACACATGTATTCTTTTCCCAATGATATTACATGCATGCACTTCATTTTCTTTCATATATCAAAAATAGAGTTTTTACTTTTGCATATGTAGAAATCCTAAATGACAATCACCGCATACAAATTATTACAACCTAAATAGCTTTGGAAATTTAAAAAACAGATTTTTTTTTTTAAAATGCCAAAATCTTTGATAACGTATGTGAATAACATTGGATTCATTCTACTTATCACTATCCAGCATGTGTTGGTTGGTTTGATGCATAAACTCCTTAGTTGTCTCGGCAATGACATATAAACTCCTTCGTTGGTATGTATATACATATATATATAAACATACATACACATTGACAAATTGATTTATACCAAAGCAGCATGCTCTTCGCCTTCACCACAACATTAGTTTTGTGATTCGTCCGTTCTCTGTCAGAGTTATTTAATAACTCGTACAGTATTAACCTTTTTTTTTACACATTTTCATTATGAGATTCATCGTATATTTAGTATTTAGTATTATGAAAATTCCAAATAGAAATAATCGTATATAAATATCTGAACTTTTATAAAATTCTAAATAAATATTTGAACTATAAAATTTTTAAATAAATATCTGAAATTTTCAAAACTTTTATATAAATACCCAAACTTTTAAAAATTTATCAAATAAAATAATTTTCGTTGACGATGTTAATCGACTGAATCATCAATTTTCGTGGGATTCCGTTATAAATTAAACAACGTTATTGGATTTTGGTTTTATTTAGAATTTTTTTAAAAATTTAGATATTTATATGGAAGTTTCGAGAAGTTTAAGTATTTATATGAGAGTTTTATAGTTTAGATATTTATTTAAAAATTTTATAAAAATTTAGTTATTTATACGAGATTATGCCTTTCGAATAATATAATTTCTCCGCTCATTTTCTGTATTTGCAGTCTGCAGATATCGTTAATTGCACCAAGCCACTCTCCCTCTCCCTCCACACTTCTATTTCTCTCCACTCACATTCACTACCTCTCTCTCTCTCATAGCCATGGATAGTCCGACAAGCGTACGCATTGCCGGAAAACCGCCGGTGGTCCTATCTCCGTCTGCCTCCAGCTCTCCGGAATTTGAGTTCTGGCGTCTCACAAACCCGTCATCTCAACCCGACCCAGATTTCATCTCCGCCGACGAGCTATTCCTCGACGGCGTCCTCCTCCCTCTTCACCCCCTCTCCGTCAAACCCGCCCACTCGCTCGATCCGGATCCTCCTCCCTCCGGCCCGCCTGCTCCTCTCGTCACTGAACCCGAGTCTGCGCTAAAAGCGGAACCCGGAACCGGGCCCGAGTTGACCCATGAGTCGCTGGTTTCCGGGTTCACAGCGTCCAAGCGGTGGAGAGATATATTTAGGAAGAACGATAATAAACCGCCGGCGAAGAACGGAGAAGACAAGGAGAAGGAGAAGGAGAAGGAGAGCAAGAGAAGGGAGAAGAAGAGCCAAACCGGGTCGGGTGCGGGCGCGGAGCTGAACATTAACATCTGGCCGTTCTCGAGGAGCAGATCCGCCGGGAACAGCGTGATCCGACCCAGAATGTCGTTTGGATCTCCAGCAGCCCGGAAGGTGAGCAGCGCCCCGTGTTCCCGGAGCAACTCCGCCGGAGAGTCCAAGTCAAGGAAGTGGCCGAGCAGTCCGGGTCGGGTCGGGGTCCATCTTGGTCGGAACATCCCTGTTTGGCAGGCCCGTCGCGGAGTTCCCGCCGGGAAAACTGTCTTCGAGCCGCCGGTGGGGCAGAGCTCCGGCGGGAGGGGTGTGAGAGGCAAAAGGGAAATTAGCGAGGCGAAGAGGGGTAAAACGGTAAATGAGAACCACAAAGCGAAAATGCTGAATTTGAACGTGCCAACGTGCATCGGTTATCGGAGTCGGTTGGGCTGCCAAAGCAACGAGAGTGGAAGTAGCAATAACCGGAGTGGGAATAGCAACATCGGGAGTGGCAATAGTAACAACCCCAATGCTACCAACACTCTATTCGGTCTGCGTAATCTTTTCATTAAGAAGGTTCATTAACTTATTTTTGTTTTCTAATATATAATTTTCTCTTCAAACCCTCGGCAGATAATTTTGATGTTGTGTGAATCGGAAGATCCTCGTGTATTTAGCTTATACTGTAAATGCATAATCTAATCCTTTCATTTAACCATGTAATCAATTTATATATGAATTTAAGTTATGGTTTTTATTAATTATAATGTTATTTCAGGAAGGATAAGTAAAGGTTACATTTTCTTTAATTAAATGTCAGTCCAAATTTATTAACTTCTCTTAGACCAATTTTAAAAAAAGAGAGATCGGACAAAGCAATTTCTAGCCAATAACCGGAACACAATAGATTGTAACCGGATAACAAACGGTTATTTGATGATAACCGCCCTAACAGAACCATGCTCAACATGTATTTCATATGTTCTGTAATATTATATATAGATATATATACACACATATACTTTTTATATGTGAAATTAATACACCGAATTGAGCCGAGTCGGTGGGGTTTTCTTTCTCTATAAACCCTTCGATCCCACGCTTTGAGTTTTGGGGTTCTGTGTGCAAGTATTTCGATGGCAGTTCTGGAGCGACTGGTTCGGACAGCTCGAGCATGGCGCGGATCTCTGTCTGGTCCCATAGCCATGGACCCTTTGCGTTCCCGCGCGCGGGTGTTTCGTCACCGTTCCTATCGGAGTACGAATCTTTTTGTTTCTTCCCTTTTATTCAACGATTTGTCGGAATTTCTGGAGTTCTCCTGAGTTCGTGGTTGTCAAGTTTCGATCGGAGTTGTTTGATTGTGTGAATTGGCTTATTGATCAATGGAGTGGAATTTCGTTGAATTTGAGCGCAAAGTCGGAAGATTTACGTGTCATCTATCACGTAACTTCATTTTTCATCTTTTCTTATGATACGGCTTCTCAATTGTACTCAGCATGATCCGTCATCCGATGTTTGATTTGGGGTTTTATTAACTATGATCGAGAAAAGGAACATTTCGGTTCTCTATACTTTCACCTCAGTTTTCTTTTGTAGAAATAAGTCTGTCGAAGTTGGATTGAGCTATCTATTCAGTAGGATCACTGAGGTTTATAGATGGGCTTGAGTAAAGATTTGCAGTAAGCGGTTGTCTGCTATGCTGGGTTCTGCAGGAACATTTGAGCAGAATGACGCAGTTGTTGAGGAATTCTGGAGGTCTTACAACACCCGAAACGGTTTTCGCTGTGTTTCCACGATGACCCCTGCAGTTGTGGGTTCTCTCTTCAGTGTTGGAGCAGTAGGATTGGCTTATGCTGAAGCAGATGAGGTTCTTAACGAAATCAATGTTTTGGTTTTCATTTTTTTCTCTATTTCTCGCTGATAGATTTGTTTGTGCCAATGAATGGAAAGTTGGCTCCTTGAAATGCTTTAGTGACCGTGATTTCTTTTGTTAAGGAATCGTCAGAATCTTTTACATGATCACCTGAAAATGAACTGTCGATTTATCAATGCTAAGGATTGAATTTGTTAAAGGATACAAGAACTTTTCTGGTCAAGCCTTCATTCAATGTCCACTGATGTAGTATCGATGTGTTTTTACTTCCTTTGCTGTCAACAAATACCTAACCTCTTGCAGGCTGATGGCAAGCCTTCTTCTCCAAAAGATTCCACAGCAAACTATGTGGACATGGCCAAGAAAGAACGGGCTCGAATCGAAGAGCTTCTCAGGAGTAAAGAAATGCATCACGGTTCTATCCCACGGTTTAATGTTGCCATTAAGGGCCAAAAGGTTGTTCCAATGATATCTTATCCCATTTGAGTTCTTGCATGTAGATACACCTGTTTTACAATTTCTTCTTTATTACTTCCACTACCTATACTTTTAGGCCTGCATATTCAGGAAGGATTCAGTGTAGAAAGAGGCTGACAAACATGGAGCATGCATTATTTTAATGTTTTTTCTTAGGTTTTAAAGTTTTTTTTTTCTGGTATTGAGTAGAATTAAACTGCCACTTTACTCCCAATGTTTTATGATACACAACCTTTATGATACATAAGCGTGTTAACAGGATTCTATATTGTAGACTACCATTAAGTTCCAAATACCTCCTACTTGTGAAGTTGCACAATTAATTGCAAACGTTGGTTCCCAACTTGGTGTGAAAGTAGCAGAACGCCCAAGTGGTTCGGATATGATATTGCGTGCTTGGGACAGGTAACATTGTCTAATATATCTTGTTCTAGACAATATTACAGTAGAAGCTGCTATTGCTTCCATTTACAACCTGAGCTGCCTTGAAAAGATATGCTGAATCACTATTCCTTGTTGTACTCCAGTTCTGTTGCTTGGCAATTAACACTTCGCAGCCCGCAAAATAAGAAAGAGTTAGGAGGGATTGAGGATGATTCTGATGAAGATTTGTGCATTCTTATCTTTGGTTCCCTAATTAGTTCTGACAAACCGGTCAGTGTCGCTTCACTCTGGTTTCTTGCTCTGTGATAACTGAAAACTGTTCATTTTGGTGGGATTTATTTACATGATTTCTGAAAAACGTATAGGAAATCGAGTTCATAAAGAAGGGTAGATTCACTGATGCTGAACTTGAGGCATTTGTTTCTGCTTTGCAACTAGCTGGTACGAAAGTGGGACACAAAAAGGGAATGGAAACTAAACCGGATGGGGATAGACCACGTGCTCCTCCTGCAGACAAATCTATTTCTCAGTTGGAGTCGATGGGAGTGAGAATCTATGGAGTTAATGAATCTCTTGAGAATTCATCCAATGAGATAACATGGGACACTATAGCTGGGTATCATCAGCAAAAGCGGTAAGTAATTGCGCGCTCTTGTCCCCTTCGTTTACATCAAATTAACATGTTATGTAGTATCTTTGTCTACAACTATTACCATAGGCATCTATGTTTTGAACTTTTGATGTGCACGTCTGAACTATCATCATGCAGAGAGATAGAAGATACAATACTAATGTCTCTTCACAGTCCTGAAGTATATGATGACATAGTACGCGGTACACGGTCCAAATTTGAATCAAATAGACCACGGGCCGTGCTATTTGAGGGTCCACCAGGTTAGCCTTGTGAACTGTGTTAGAATCAAGTACGAAAGGGTCTATCAACCTGTAATGAGCAAAGAAAGTTCTTTACAACTTATTTCTTTATTGGAATCAGGTTTTAATTCAGAAGAGTATGGAGTTTGAAACTGATTTCAATGTTCTTTAAATTAGGAACTGGGAAGACATCATGTGCCCGTGTTATTGCTACTCAAGCGGTGAGTAGCCAACTATCTTCTGTTATCATTACAATTCAGTCAACATTTTAGTGAACTATAGCTTCACACTTCACACATGCAATAGCTTTCCATGGTGCTGTTTTGTGGGTCTGATGAAAAGATTATAGCTTAAACAGTAAAGGGAAAAAGTGCCAAGACCTGAATAGACTTCATTTCTTATGGATTGACAACTGTGTCGTAAAACTTACCATTTAGGTTTGCAAGAATCGGCATTCAAAACAAGCATTATTTTCCATTGCTAGGGCATCCCATTGCTGTATGTGCCACTTGAGGCTGTTATGTCCAAGTATTATGGTGAAAGTGAGCGCCTACTAGGGACTGTATTTTCGTTGGCAAATGAGCTCTCCGATGGGGCAATTATATTTCTCGATGAGGTGACGAGGTTCTTTTTTTTCCCCATTCGTATCCTTTACCACAGTTATTTTTATTATGATCTTACCATTGTCGCATCTTATTCACGTTCCAGATTGATGCCTTTGCTGTTTTGCGTGATACTGAGATACATGAAGCAACACGTAGAGTTTTGTCAGTATTGCTAAGGCAGGTAAGAATACAGAACAGTGGAGAGATAACTAAATAGGTTTCAGACAATTAGCAATGTTACATCTCCTGAGAAATGAATCTGTAGAAACAGACTGCTACTCTTTTTTTTCTCTTGAACTGTCAACACCTTATGAGAAATCATTCCAATTCATCTGGGACATTGTATATGTGCAGATTGATGGATTTGAGCAGGACAAAAAGGTAGTTGTCATCGCTGCAACCAACAGAAAACAAGACCTTGATCCGGCTTTGATAAGGTAAAAGAATACCCCTTGGCCTTGCAACTTTGTGACCACGATTGATTCTGACACGCTGACTCGTGTTTTGTGTTTCGTTTATGCTTTTCTAGCCGTTTTGATTCCATTATTACATTTGGCTTGCCGGACTTCCAAACTCGTCAAGAAATCATCACCCAATATGCAAAGCAACTTACAAAGTCTGAATTAGTCCAGCTTGCTCAGGCCACAGAAGGGTAAGCTTTTGTTCTTCTTACCACGTTGAGATGTGTCTTTTTATCGATGGTCGAGTTTAGATTTTGTCTGATATCTTTCGGGTTTAAGTTTCCATCTGTAATTCTTCCATCGACTCGCTTTTAGTTCCCGGTAATACATTTCTATTCTGATTCTTGCCCCTCTTTTTTTCTTTTTCTTTTCTTGTTCTATGTACAGAATGTCAGGCAGGGATATTCGAGATGTATGCCAACGAGCAGAACGAACATGGGCTTCAAAGGTAAACAAGCGTTTTCACCCCCACCCTCTTCATATAACTTCTAAACTTATCGACAAATTCACATGCTTTTTTTATACGATTGGGTATAGTTGATACGAGGACAAGCCAGAAAAGCCGACGGAGGAAAAGAAGTGTCTCTACCGCCATTACAAGAGTACCTGGAGAGCGCTGAAGCTCGGCACAAAGCTTTGCTCAGCGTGAAAGAGCAAAGGGACGGAAGTATCTCCTCACGTTCCAGGAAACCTCTGTTAGATTTCAACTGAGACAGTGATCCGTTTCCGTGGCATTATCAGCAGAGACATGATGTAAGTTTTCATGTCATATAACTTGCATCTTTGCTTAGGATTCAAGGAAAGATTGAACAACACTTTCCCCACAAATTGATATACAGATTTGAACACAATGATAAGATAACTACTGTTAACAGTTTCAGAGTAGGCTTCTTCTTCTTCTTCTTCTTCGTTTAAGCTTTAGGCTTGTGAATTCCAGAATATCAGGTTAAGTTGGAGAAGGCTGAAGAAGAGTAAACTCAAACTCAAACTCAAGTCCCTGCATCCAGACAATATCATCGTCACTTACTTCTCCTCTTCACATGTTTTCGTTTTCATCATTTAGAACAGCCTTAAGATCTCTAATCAATGTTTTTATAATTTATAGAATGAAAACTTGTTTTGTGGTATCCGTATTTGGATATTTCTCCAATAATATATGGAAAGGGTTCTCGAGTTTTTCACCTGGTGGAGGTCGAGGTCGAGGCCTCCTGTTCTTGGACCGATGATGATGACGATGATCTCTTTCTCTTACTCCCAACGCCGCCGAAAGGCACAGCCTTCAAGTGAGTCTGCATAACCATCCGAGTCAACTCGGTCTCCATTTCTAACCTCCTCTTCTCCGCTTCCCTTCTCGCAGCCTCTCGTGCCTTCGCCATCTCCATCTCTGCCACCTCCATTCTCAGCAGCGAATCCGACAATAATCTGATACTAGCTGTGATTCCATAGAACTGTGTGTCAGAACCCTGACTCGACTCGGTTCTGGATTCCATAGAACTCTGTGTCACCTCGTCGGAGCTTTTTGGAACATTGGACCCATCGTTATCGGACGTGAAACCGTCTTCAGACACGTGTCCCATTGATGCCGAGGCTGTCTGGCTCCGGCGGCTTTGTCGGAACGTCGGTGGCTTCGCCATGAAGATGGTGGTGCTTTGTATTGTTTAGGCAGAGAGAGAGAGAGAGACGAATGTATGTGATGCTATTCTCTTGGTAGTTTATTATGTTCCCAGAAAGCGTTTTTTTTTTTAAATTAAAAAAAAAAAGTGGTTCCACTTTGAATGATGACTGCTTTTTGAGATTTTTCACTTTGGTTGCTTTGAATCGATGCCAAAATGATCTCATAGGTTAATTTTGATTCTGAGGGAAAATAATTCGCTTCCACTAGTGGTTGTGGTTGTCGTTGGGTCTACTTCAAAGTTCGTATCATTGTTGTTAGGGGTGGTCAATTCGGGTTTCGGTTCGGGTTCGGTTCGGTTTTGGTAAAAAGTTCAATATTTCAAAGAAATTGTCGGTTATTCTCTCGGTTTTTTCGGTTAATTTTTATTCGGTTCGGTTCGGTTTCGGTTTTTCGGGTTTAAAGAAATCATAACCGTTCGGTTTTGATGTCGGGTTCGGTTCGAGTACGGTTATGTCTTATTCGGTTCGGTTCAGTTCGGTTATTTGGTTAATAACCGAAATGGTCACCCCTAATTGTTGTTGAAGTATTAAAAAAAATTGTATTTTATACATCAATATATTATTTTCAAATGATATAATAATATATACATCAATAAGATGTTATTAGCAATAGGTTTTCAAGATCTATCCTTATAATTTAGAGACTTGAGTAAAATTTATAGTATACAAGAAAAATTCACTCGTTTACTATGCCAATTTGATGTATAATTATCGTGTTAATTAATTCATTAATACAACATGGTATACATACTATTCATTTCATTGTCCCAGTAGCTATGCAGAAGCGTAGGGTACACGCGCTCCGTTGACGCGTAGCATTTATTAGCCTTCCTCTAATGTATTGATACCAAGCGTCACCTAAAAAACACATCTTTAGATTCCTGATGTCTTGAGCTGCGTCTCTCTCGCTGTCGCTTCCTGAGTGCCTCTTTTCTTAGGTTCGTGTTCCGATCAAGCATCGAGAGGTATGTCGTCGAAGGACAAGAAACCGTCGAAGCCGGTCGGAAAGGCCGGTGGTATCCGTACACTTTCCGATCTGAACCGAAGGTCTGGGCCCGATTCCGACAGCGACTCCGACGGACCTCAAGAGTACTACACCGGTGGCGAGAAAAGGTCTGTGCTTAAACCCCACGATTAATGATCCGAGTTTTCGATTTTCCCGGCGACCCTATTGATTGCACGTGGTTGTAATGTTTAAAGTGAGGATTTTTGTGTGGATATGATTGGATCTGGGGGTGGGATTGGATTATGATGGTATGCGTAACTATTCATCTATTATCATTTACCAGTTCAATGTTTCTGGTGGAATGAGAAAAATGAAAGAGGATTCAGGATTAGGGTCTTATGATTGATCGAGAGTTGTTGTTCCGCAAGTTGTCTTGTCAGATTCAAATGTTTCAGGGATTCCTCGGAATTCTGTCCGTGAGAAATGGTTTGAGAGCGGATGAGTAATTGGTAGTGATTTCCAAGATTCGTAATTGCAGCTCGGTCTTGGTGGTGATGGAGTTGCCGCCTCTGTGTTGGATACTATAGATAGATAGAAGAATATGAAAGAAAAGAAGGGTCCCTGACTTATTCATTTCATTTATCCTTTCTTAACCTTTGATTTCTGTTCATGTTTCTAGCCTAACTGTGTATCTAAATTGTTGATTTCTGTTGAAACTGGCTGAGATCTTTACCTTTGATTCCTGCAGTGGTATGCTTGTTCAGGACCCATCAAAGAATAATGATGTGGATGAGATATTCAATCAAGCTAGGCAATTAGGAGCTGTGGAAGGACCACTTGAACATCCCTCGAGTTCTAGAAGCTTCACCGGGACTGGGAGATTGCTTTCGGGAGAGACTCTGCCATCGGCTCCACAGCAGCCCGATCCTGTTGTTCACAACATTGTTTTCTGGTCCAATGGTTTCACCATTGATGATGGCCCTTTGAGGAGGTTGGATGATCCAGAGAATGCTTCTTTTCTAGAGGTGGAAATGGAATCTATTTTGTTCTGCTGCGCACAAATGAATGACTTCTCATGTTTCGACTTATGTTTTCTGTTTGAGGATGTTAATTCAGTTTTGTTTTTTGGTTTTTTGTTATTTCTTCGATGATCTATCCAATGTAGAGTATTAGAAAGTCTGAATGCCCGAAAGAGCTTGAACCTGCGGATAGAAGGACGCCCGTTCATGTCAATCTGATGAGAAGGGATGAGAAATGCCCAGTGAGTCCCTTCTACTCACTCCTCAACCCATTATTTGTTGAAGTGGTCGTGCATTTTATATCGACTGGCTTTTCTGCTCAGATTAACAAACTGAATTATCTTCCTTACACCGAGCTTTTTTTGCATACGAACATTCCCAGGCAAGGTAGGTAAGGTTATGTACCAATCACCCGTCACAAAATGTTTTAGTTGCCATTCTTTTTCGGTTTTCTAATGTAACTCTCGTGGAAGCTGATGAATGATGTTACCGGAGTTTTCTTATGTTTTCATCGTGCATATATACGATACAGAATTCAGGGCGTATGCCTCAACCCATACTTCAACACTAGGAAACCCTATTCACCTCTCTTATGACATTGTTTTCTCGTTGTAGGAGCGGGAGAAACGCACAGTCCCATTTCAGGGGGTCGGAAGGACTTTGGGAGGGAGCAGTTCATCAGCAAATCCCGAACCAACACCCATCTCATCAGACAACATCGGCCAGACAGCCCCTTCTTCTTCTTCCAGTCTTGTAGTAGATGACAGCCTTCCATTAACATCAATCCAGCTGAGGTTAGCGGACGGGACACGCTTGGTGGCAAAGTTCAATCACCGTCACACCGTTAATGATATTCGTGGTTTCATCGATGCTTCTCGGCCCGGAAACCCCGGTAACTACCAGCTCCAGATGATGGGATTCCCTCCGAAACCGCTTACTGATGTTTCTCAGACCATTGAAGAAGCCGGGCTTGCAAACTCTGTCATCATCCAGAAATTCTAAAAACCTCGAGAAAAATTCGTTTTCCCGTCTGATCAGACAACATTTTAATGGGACTGTGATTGTATCAGAGAGTTCAGACATAAGTGTTGCTGCTGGTTTTGTAAGAGGGGAGTCTCCATGAAAACATCTATTCTCTGCTTTGCTTTTGAAATGCTCTTGTGGTGTGTGGAAAGATTAAAAATATTATAATGGATAATGATGTTACCTTTGATTAGTATCATGTTTTATTTGATTAATTATACATATAATTTGCTTAGCTAATGACTCTGCTAGGTCATGAGTTTCTGAAATAATTTAGGCCTCCTGTAAATTTAATCCCTTTTTTCTTATGGAATTTTACCCATTAACACTTTAATAACCTGACATTAACCTTTTTACGCTTCAAACTATGCATTGATATTATTATTTTTCCTGTGGTACTTACGAATAAAATAAATATCTAAATTGGACTGTTCACACCCAAAACTAAACCATTTCTTATTTTATTTTTTTTAAAAAAAGTGAGTGATATTTGTTCGTAGAAACGTCAAACGTTCATAGCAAAAACTGAAATAAATTATGCTTATCGATGAGAAAAAAAAAAAAAAAGATGAATGGATAGAAAATAGACTTGAAAAATTTACAGAATCTGGGATTTGGCCAAAAATTAAAAGCCTTACCATTTAATTCCTTTTAAAGAAAAAGGGAAAGAATTTGATTGCCCCCTATGCACAGTAACATTCCCAATCTGCTAATGGCTCATCTTCTCCCTGAGAGAATCTAGGGTTCCGGGATTTATTTCTTCGTCTTCCTTCCGTTTGGGCTCCTGGGATTTCTTCCTCTTCATCAATCTCAGCTTCCAATCTTCCGGAAAGTTCCTGCTTTTTCACTTTTCAAGGGAGGGAAATAAAAAATCGAGCTTTGCCAGTCTCTTAAGCCCCAGATTCCATGGCGAAAACTCGACCTGGTGTCGGCTCCAAGAGCAAGCCAGGCAGGAGGGAGCTTGAATCGTACACCATCAGAGGCACCAACAAAGTTGTCAGAGGTATTCAGATACAATGCCTTTTTTAAATCAGTGAATTACTTGTTTCAAACGTATGCATCTCTTCTGCATTTTTTTGGGTATGTGTAAATAGATTTACACATACAGAGAATAAAGTGATTGTTCGAAGCTTAGGTGTGGTAATGCAGGTACTCTTGTATTCTATGCATATGTATCTCTTTCGTCTTTCTGAAGTATACGCATTTGTATACATGTGTGTGTATGTATATATCTGCAATTAGAGGGAAAAGAGATGAAAGGTCCTTCAGGTGTGTAAATGTGATAGACCTACCTGCCCCATGGTGGGCGAGTGGTACGCGCTCCTGATGGCCGGGTCTCCTTGAGATAGCTAGGCGCAGGTGGTGGCCGGTTCGAATCCATGAGCGTGTAGGTGGGATGCAATTAATTGCAACAAGTCGGCCCATCTGCTCAGGTTGGATCTAGTTGGGCCGAACACCCGGTGAACTACCCTGATTACCAAAAAAAATGTGATAGATGGGTGAGTTAACGTTGATTCAAAGAAGGTGTCTTGTCTGAATATGTCACTGCTCGAAGAAGAAAATACCTTGGCAAGTATAGTGAAAGTGAACTTAAGCAGCTTTCAGGTTTGTTGTCTGTATGCTTTCTTAGATGCTTTAGAATCATACGGTATAATTTGTACTCGTTGGTGTGGAAAAAGGATCATCTTTTACAGTTTAATCTTGTGATTGTGCCTTTGTATTCTCTACGTGTATCAGAGCAAATTTGTTCCTTCATAATCACATCCAAAAATGTAAAGTATTTGGCATATATTTGGACTTGTGGCCATGGTGGTGATTGTGCATTTGTAATTGATATGTGTATCTGAGAACAAATTCTTGCCCTCATACCCACTTGTGGGCTTGGTGAGTGATTAGGAGAATTTCAGGTTTTAAGGTTTATGTATTATAACCATTTTCAGGTGTTTCTATGGGGAAAACACCAATTTTTAATTTGACACTTGGGAGTTTTTTTTCAATTAAAGCTAGGGAATGATCATTATTATGAGTGTTTTTTGCAGTGGGCGAGTGTGTGTTAATGCGTCCATCAGATGCTGGTAAACCACCGTATGTGGCACGTGTGGAGAAGATTGAAGCAGATGCAAGGAACAATGTGAAAGTTCATGTTCGATGGTATTACCGTCCGGAGGAGTCTCTTGGTGGTAGGAGACAGTTCCATGGAGCCAAAGAGCTGTTCTTGTCCGACCACTATGATGTTCAAAGCGGTCACACCATCGAGGGGAAATGCATTGTTCATACCTTCAAAAACTATACGAGGCTTGAAAACGTTGGAGCCGAGGATTATTATTGTAGGTTTGAGTACAAGGCTGCTACCGGTGCATTTACTCCTGATCGAGTTGCTGTGTAAGTAAGCCAATATAGAATTTGAGTAAGAAATACAATTTTGTTTCCTCTTTTAAGTTGATAATCTTGTGGGTTCTCTTATTTCTGAAGGTACTGCAAATGTGAAATGCCATATAACCCGGATGATCTCATGGTGCAATGTGAAGGTTGCAAAGACTGGTAGATGTTCATATTCACCCTTTTTATGCTTATCCTTCAATTTAAATGCTCTATTAGAAAAATAGTTCCGGAATTTAGTTATTCTAAAGCCAAGAACCCTTTTTCTTGAGCAAATTATGGATTGCATAAATGTAGGTATCATCCTGCGTGCGTTGGCATGACTATCGAAGAAGCAAAGAAGCTGGATCACTTTGTATGTTCAGAATGCAGTTCTGATGAGGACATTAAAAGATCACAGAACGGGTTTACTTCGTCCCCGACGGATGATGACAAGGTGAGCGATCTTTCCTCCATTTTAATCCTATTATCAACATCTTTGGTATATTATCCTCTGACTTCATTTGGAGATGAGAGTAAAATTACCAAACCAAAATGGATGAGTTCAGAAATTGTTCAGCTGAATAAATCATTCACCCAAAAGTTTAACTTGGAAGCTGTGTGGCAGTGAAGATTAGAAGAGAAGGGCTTCTTCCTATTGAACTGAATGTGAAAATGGATGACTCGTGTGTGTGTTCAGGTGGAAGCCAAACGTAGAAAAAGATGATGCGGGATGATCATGTGAAGAAGGTGGAGTGAATGGTGAGTCAACTAAGCTTCTTTTGGTGCAGATTTTAGTTCGTAGTTTGTAGGGTTTTTGCCTTGTGTGTTGATGCTGTCCTCTGTTTTCCCGAGAGAGAGAGAGAGAGTTGTATAGCCTTTCTTCATTTCAAAATTTAGGCACTTCGCGTGTGGTGTTTGCTGTTTATGTCTGAGAAGACATGAACTGGAAAGGAAACATCAAAATCTGGCTCTCGTGTGTTGGAAACTGAACTGTTAGTAAACCGGTTTGAAGTTCTGACGTAAACCGCTTGTGTAATGATACATATCATGACATAAACATTGATTCGGGTCTAAATTTCTCAAACTTATTCAGCTGCGACAAATATCCGACAAAAACTATGTACCCACTTCTGTTCTTTTCCCTCAAAACTTCCGTAAGCAAAATAATTACATAAAATTTCAATCTTGCACGAAAAAGAAGGTATCTTGGTTTGGATTCTTGTCTTGATGAACTTCCAACGGCAAAACTTGATCGAGTTCTCTTCCGTGGGATTCGGCTGCTCAGAAGGAAAAGTCGGAAGGTTCGTGTTCGGGTGTCCGATAAGAAAAACCAGCGTCGTCGCTCGACCGTCGCTTGATGACGCTTGCCCGCTGAACCAATCTCACCAGCTGCTGCACGACCTCCGACATTGGTGGCCTGAACTCTGGTTCGGGCTGTGCAGGAGATTATATCGACGGTTACTTTGGAGAATTTTCTCGTTGAAAATACTCTGCAATGTCTTGTTAGATATGTTCTTACCTGAATACAGAGGGCAATGATATCTGCAAAGCGGGAAAGGGACTTGGCAGGGTACATGCCATTCAGAGCAGGATCCACCATTTTCGACAATGCGTCTATGTCGTGAAGCTGCGGTGTCGCCCATCTTACCAGCGATTGCTCCGATCTTGGCCTCGAGCTATTTCACACACCACCACGTTCAAAACTCCGATCTGAGCACATAAGATTCGGGAAGAAAACGATAAGGATTAGTCAGTCACCTGTCGAGGGGCTTCCGACCAGTCAGGAGCTCGAGCATCACTACACCGAAACTGTATACGTCGCTTTTGACAGTGTAAACTCCAGATAACGCAAACTCAGGAGCGCTGTATCCGAATGAACCCACCACCTGAGTGGAAACCTGCAACTCATTACCCAAACCTTAACCCTCTTAGAAAATGAAAACGGGCCATGGTATCATCTGATCTCGGGTATGTTTTCATTCTTTAATACCTGTCTCTCGGTGTTAGGCGTTAAAGCCGCTAAACCACAGTCGGACAAGTGAGGGTTAAGCTCTTCATCTAGTAATATATTCGCCGACTTGAAGTTTCTATGTACAACGAAAGGCAAGCAAACTTCATGCAAGTACCTGAAACGATGGCGAGCCAAAGAGGTTAGTAAACACGAAAGACGAGCTCCCGAATACGAGAAATGTTGTTACGTACTCTAAAGCACGGGCAGTTCCAAGCGCAACTCTAACACGAGAGTTCCAAGTCAGAGACTTGCTTCTATCGTCGTTCAGATGAAGCATATCATCGAGGTTCCCGTTAGAGATGTATTCGTAGACAAGAAGTCGCTGTCCGTGCTCGGTGCAGTATCCAGCCAATGGAACGATGTTAGGATGCCGCAGACGTGACATACTCGAAACAGCTTCTAGAAAATTATCTTCTTCTTGCAGTGAAAGTGCTGCATTATCAATCTTCTTGATCGCCATCGTCTGGAAACACATAAATTCATACAAAAGTATTAATCTTGTTAAACTTATTCGAAAGTATATGACGGGAATTAAGTTACCTTTCCGTTAGAGAATTCTGCTCGGTAGACACGGCCAAGAGAACCTTCACCGATGATGTTTTCTTGGCTGAAGCTGTTTGTTGCTACTTGGAGAGAGGCGACGGTATATTGGGAAGCAGTGATGGGCGATCTTGTTCTATTTACCGACCCGTTTTTCAAAACCCGATCAACCATTACCGGAGGCGGAGCCTTCACATCTGCAACCGCAGCTACACTTTTCAACCGCTGTTCTTGCATCTCTGTCGTCACTTCACAGCATACAGTGTAAGACATTCAAGAAAACATCGGTATCGTCTTATGGACAGCTTAGTGTTTAGATTACAAGAAAGAGTTCTGCCTAGTTCTCAGATTTCCATGCTCAAGAACAACCTGAAATTACTGATATAGTCGGTTGATACAATTCTAAAACCAGATTGAGCTCACAGCCCTCAGATTTCTGTCTCCAGATAAATGAAACTAAACCAAGCTCAAGATCCTTAATTTCATGATCCATGCTGATTAGTGATTGTATCGAAGCAAATGTTGATTTCTAGCGTTGAAAACTGATTAATAGATAACAAAGTTAGATGAAACGACATACCGATTGATCCCCCGAGAGGGAGATTTCCTTGAGAAGGTCTTGTAACTCTGACTTTCCTTTTGTTCTTCTGAATGAACAAGATGAATACAAGGGCCAGAATTCCAGCAACAAACAGACAACCGAAAACTATGCCGGCGATTGCTCCACCAGACAAACCCGTATCCGTGTCTGAAGATTCCCCGCTGGAGACACCGGGTTTCTTTGAACCCGAGCGACTCCGCCTTTTATGAGATTTTTCGGGTTGAGGAGATGCAGGGACATTGTCAAAGGAATTGCCATCATATCTGTTTCATTTTAGAAACACAATAGCAGTTCTTGAAAACTGAAACTGAACACAACACATCATCAGAGAAACTTCCAATTAAAGAAAACTTACATGAAGGTCTGAATGGAACTAAGCTTCTCAGGTACTGATCCATTGAAGTGATTGTTGGCAACATTTCTGACAATGAAGTATAAGGCAAAACTTAGGATTTGATGATAAATATCAAAATACTAGGTCGTTCCACATGCAAAAGAACTTACAGAGTGGTCAAAGGCAACCCCGAGAGGACATCGATAGAACCCGTCAACTGATTGTTCTGAACATAGCTGTCACAAATTACGATATCATATCAGTCCATCAAATGCAACTCAGTGGATTTCAAGGATGGGTTTTTTTGAGTTACTCACAGAACAGAAAGTTTGGTCAGTGTACTAAAGGAGCTCGGAAGATCACCGGTGAGGTTGTTATGAGAAAGGTCCCTACATCATCAGGTCAAGACATTGCAATACAGAATGTAAGTACAAAACCAGATGATACAAACTCACTAGAACTTGCATGGCTTAAGTAAGAAATCTTACAAGGTGGAAAGTGAATCATGGGTACCAAAGATATCCCCTATGGACATGGAGAGAGAGTTATGACTCACATTCCTGGACAAGGGCATGTCAGAGTTGGTACAATTAAGAAAAAAAATTAAGGTCAGATTGTATGGTTTTAGAAAGGTAACTCACATGTATGAAAGAGAAACCATGGTGGATATGGAATATGGAAGGTTCCCACTTAGGTTGTTTCTTGCAAGATTTCTGCATTGCATTGCATATATCCATATGTACAGTCAGCTTCAAGTTGCAGATTGAAAATTAAAATCTTCAGAACTCACGTAGAGAAGGAAAGATTACAACATCAATAAGCAGAAAAGTATTACAGGCTTGTGAGATTCGGCGGTAACTGATATGGGATTATGTCATGGATGTTGTTGCCATTGACATCTCTGAAAAAAACACAAGTGAAAGACAGTTACAGAACCAAACTGAAACAGGAAAACAGATCAAACAGCAACATAGATGAAGGGAGAAACATCTTGTCATACAAATTTCGCAGTGACATTAGGTCCGAGAGCAAGTATCCAAGGGTACCCGAGACTCCTAACTCAGATATATCTCTGCGAGAATCATAATAACAACAAGAACAAGGAGGAAATTGAACACAGTAATTCCTCAATGCCAGCAGAGAAAAAAAAAGGCAGAATCTGAATAAATATCAGAACTTTACATAGAGACAACTGCTGAGCCCTCACAAGTAACCCCTTTCCATGATTCACCACATGGATCACCACCTCCGCTTTTCCAATTGGTGAGCTGTGAAGGACTATTCAACGAAGTGTACAACACCTGAAGAGCTTGAACTGCAGAACGACCAGATGAGAAAAAGGAAACGGATCCAAAACCCATCATCTGTCACGATCTTTGATAAATCTATGATATTTTGGTACAGAATTATTCAAGAAGGGGATAAAGGTGAGATCTTGACAGCTTTTCCATAGAAATGATAAGTAGCCGAACTGGGTTCTGCAGCTGATAACTGCTTTGCATGATCCATGGAAAGATGTGTACATTTTGGTACAAGAAAGTTCGCAACTTTGGAAAAATTTTCCAGCATTTTCTAGAGGGTTCTATCTATCGGGACCAAATATGACCAGACACAACATCATTTGGGTCATTGAACTGTAGCTTTCGGCTTCACATCCCACAATTTTTTTCCGGCAGTTTCTAGGGAAACAGACAGTGTCAGCACACCTGATAATCATTTAATCATCAAATCCGCATCAATGCAAAAACCCTCACTTTCCCGTTGTTCCCACATTATTTGATTTGTTTTCTCGGGAACCAAACAGTTTCAATGATTTTCTTCTGAAAACAAGACCGATTCAATAAAAAAAAAGATCCCAAAAAGTAAAATCAAATAACTAATCTCCATCACAGAGCACAGAGCTCCATCACAAAACAAAGATCACCCAATAGAAAGCACAAAAAAAAAAGAATGGCCACAATGAGAAGAAAGAAAAAGCAGCAGAAAAGCATTTCAACACATACCATCGGATGGATCAGTAGCACAGTGAACAGAAGAGAATCCCAAGATCCAGACAACGAGGAGAAACAAGAAAAGGAACAAAGCTCTGTCCCTGCAAGCCATTAACAATGTCTTAAACTCTAGTTAGCTTTCGCCGCTGGATTTCCGGGAGTTGCGTCGACGATCACGCACGGCGAAGTCCATTGTAAAGAAGAACCGCCATTGAAGCACCGGAAACGAAGGACGAAGGAAAGAAGAAAGAGACAGAGACAGAGAAGAAGACGAAGAAGAAGGAGAAGAGAAACAGTGGGTGTTGGGGTCAGTAGTCAGAGGCATCGCCATTAAAGAAAGGGACAGGTAGAGAGAGAGAGAGATTCCAAGCGTAGTCGAGTTATGAAGAGAGAGAACATTTCAGGTATTTTTTTTATTTTTATTTTTCAAATATTTTAGTCCTTGTTACCGTAAAAAATTAAATAACACATAAAATTTACCAAATTATGTGTTTCATCATGAATTCAATTCACAACAAAAAAATCACACAGTTAAATAAACTTATATTAACCTCGGAGGGTAAGATTCTGTGGACATTTAGTTACATTGGTAGATAGAATGATGTCTAATTATATACTCTCTTTTCTTCCCCACAATTTCTTATTATTATAGTATTATATATATAATTATGGAAATATGATTAGACCGTCCACGCTGACTCCTGCCCTTCGATATTAATTTCAATATTTAAAGGGAATGCTTTTACGTGATGCTATGAATCATTGATGTATAAACTTTTTCGATATTTTTTCTTATACGATTATGTTACCGTCAATGGCATCTTTACAATGGTGTTTGCTTTAAAATTTAAAAACATGATCAAACATCAATATTTTTCTTTTTTTAATTCTACCAAACTTTTTTTTTATTTATGCACATATTATTTGAAAAATATATTTAGTCATTAACAAATTACCTACGAAAATACAAAGATGTGGTTATATATATATATACACTTATACATATATATAAATGTGTGTGTGTATTTTTTTTTACTTATATATTTATTTGTTGCTAATGCAATTACGCAACTCCATGTCATTTATGAGACCAACTACATATCTGGCTCGATTAGAGCAGAATCATTTAACTTTTCAATATACATATACTAAATATTAAATATTTGAAAAAATATTTATATTTTATTATTTTAACTCAAATTTAGTATCATATCAAAGTAAAAAATAAACGTGAAAATTTTAATCATCTAATATATATTGTAAAAATAAAATAACATCAAATCTAAATATATGATAATACCAAATTAATATTTTATAATATTTCATATTTTAATTCTCTGGTCGAGAAAATGTGTATGAAACAAATTAAGAAAAAAAAAGTACATATAACAATTGGGAAATTGTATCTATATGGGTGGTGGTATTTCTTGGGGAGTCGGTGTGTGACTTGCGTCTGTGTCGGCGAGAGGTTATTTTTGTTTTTTCCTTTTTCTAACGAGGAAAAAAATAATTTAAATAATGTTATATAATATACATATGGGGGAATAAAAGAGTTTTCCAATAATTAATTAAATATTCATTTGAGCTGGGTTCCTTAAGATTAACGTCGCAGTTGGGTTTTACTAAGAAAAATAATTAAGAAAAACGAGATATTTGACTTCGTCTTGCTATATTTTGTTCATTATAATTACTGATATTTGTTACATTTGATTGTTATTCTATAATATGGAGAATAAAGTCAAATAAAAGAATATATATATATATATATCGTTCAAATCATTTCCAAGACACCATTCGTATCATATACCATTCATCATGTAATACATAGGACACATTATCCAATTTAAATACTATAAACATTTTAATATTTGAACTATTCTTAATTTCTTATAATGTATTTTGTTATTAAAAATATCCATATGTTTTGTACACTAAATTTTGAAGATTGTTGTTGTGTTATACTTGTTGAGATATACCGGATCTTGAAGAATATTACGAGATATATCATATAATGAAGATCTTATCAAATCCGAAAAATATATATTTAAAAATATTTAAACATATTTTTCAATACCCAAATCATTTTTTAATATTATTTTTTGAAAAGATTTGAGATATTAAAATACGAAAAAGATTTTATATATTAAAATATGTAATAAAAAAAATTAAACATATTTTATTATATGTTATTTATGATATTGTTGTGGACATGACGCTTCTTTCACTCAATTAAACACTGAATTATGTCTCGAGAGAGGCATTGTAATCGAAAAGAATATAAATAATAAAATAAAAAGAAGTTCGAAAGAATTCCGAATTTCACATTTCGACAGAATAAAAAGGCACCAAGTAGAGAACAAAAGAGAGGAGACATTTATTTTTGGACAAAAAAAAAAGAGAAAAAACATGGGGGAGGAGAATTTGTGAAAAAGACACCACTCGTGACAACACATCACCATTATGTTTTCCCTGTTGCCCTTTTTCTCATGTGCCATTATGTGTTTTTTTTTGTTGCAATTCCTTATGAAAACAAATATTTTTTAAAAAATTATGTTAAGGCGAAATAGATTCAGATATCGTGGATCCAATATTAAAGATTGTTCAAATGGTGAAATGTAATAACCAGATATAGTTATTTTTTATCCAACCGTTTACAATGTCATAAAACCTTTTTATTTTATTTTTTTTATTTCAACATAGGTTAAGACTGTTATATGCATTTATTATTATATGTCGCATTATTATAATTGTTTTATTCATTTGCAACAGTTATGAAGAAGTTGGGGTATTAGGGTAAGCCATGAAGCACCAAAAAAGATTGCTTGTTCGTAGTCTCAAGTGAATGAACTCAACTCCCGTGATCTGCCTGCCTTAGATTCTCTCTGACACCAATAACAATCTCGAAACAATATCTTAATTATTAACCACAAAATTAAAAAAATGATATTTAATTACTTTTTTACAATTTTTAAGGGCACACAATTCTATGAAATAATCAAGACTCGTCAATGTAACTAATATTGGAAGTTATACAAGATATTCAAATGAATAAATCATTTTGGTTATGAGATGGGTTATTACGTCTTATGTAATAATGTGTTAAGCTCGCTATTAAACAATAACTAATTAAAGTGGTTAAGAGTTTATTAGGGAATGTAAAAAAAAAGGGTACGTAAAATAATAATCACCTTTCGTTCCAAAAAAAGCCCATTAAAAAGCCCATTGGGCTTTCGTAATGAATCGCAATGCTTTTCCAATGGCTTTAGGAATATGAAACGATGGATTTGAAAGCTTGGAAATGATCGGAGAAGTTGGTGTTTTGGAAAATGGTATAATTAGTTTTCATATATACTGAACTTTTGAAATTTAACTAATGCCTTGATAAATAAGAATGATAATACAATTGTTAGTCTATTGGATTTGTAATAGATTGCCCATCATTCTGTTGTTAATGATTTGTTTAGATGCATTCAACCGTTGAATATTTCGTATAATAGAAAATTTATAGTTTTTTTTATACGGATTGTTCTTACCAATTTGTATGGAAATAATTTATTGACTTGAGAACAAAAACACAATTTTTGTTTTCAAATCGATGGAGACATATACCATACCCCTATTGATTGTTATGCAGATCCATCCACACCCATATATACACTCCCTCACACTATGTATATATATATATGTATATATACATAATGTGTATACATATATGTATTAATGCAGTTCGTTCAACTAGATCCAACTTGATATTCGCGAGGCTCCCATGGTCAAATTTCGCTTGATAAATATGACCACCACAATTATATCCAAACAAATTTCTCTATAATCCATTTTGCTTATCTTATGTGTAATCTCATATTCTACGTATAATTTTCAATTTCATTGTCTTTTTATCTTGATTCTATCAATTTATTCTTATCCAATCTAAATTCAACGAGATTTTTTTTATGTGACTTGAACTTTTCTTATTCTCAACCATAAGTCTATATAAAAAAACGTAATAATTAATTAAAAAACGTCATCAATTTATTCTCATTTAAAAATGAAAATAATCTAATTAAGAGATGAATACTTGTATATAAACCATGTAAAAAAAAATATTTCACCAAAAAACAAATAGGAGGGACCAATGGCACGTCAAAGGCATATATTTTGAACTGAATTCCGAATAAAAAAAATAGATAAAATCATATATGAATATGAATTATGTCCCAAAAAAAAAACATCACAAAAATGATTGTTAAGGCGCGTGGAAACGGTCATTACATTGCCAAATACTTCAGATTATAAATATACACACATACACACACAATCAAATCAACAACTCCCACTACTAAATATAGTAATATGCCTTTTTTAAAATACACAATTTGGCAAAATTTATTGATTATTTTATTCAACCGGGCAAGCTTTTCATCATGATTCCTATTTCCCTTCTTTTTCTTATTTAATTCTAGGGCACACTGAACGAGCACCTCACCCTACTTTTAAAAAAAAAAATATATATAATGAAACTATATATTATTTATCTCTCTAATATCGAATTTTGTAATTTTTTAATGTAATTATAATGGAACAGTTGGATTAACGTACAAATTGGTCAAAGTCAAATTAGTAAAATGTTTTGCGGTAGACTCACACGGGGTGCACGCGTCACGCGTGCTTTAAATGCGGGCACGTCGACTGCATGTCTTATCTTCCCGTCTCAACAGCTATTGGCGCGTGTGTTCACTCGCTTATTAAGCGCGTTATATGGAAAGCTTTTACGCCCGTTACAAAATCCATGTCCGAACTAACCGTTAGGCTGCTCACAGCGTGGCAAATTAAGTAGTAATAATAAATTGTGGCATTTAACAAAAGATATATCACATCAACGGTCCTATTCTCAAACAAAATTTAAAAGGGTTAAAATACTATTTGGGGAAAACAAGTTCAAATATACTAGCAGAGGCTGTGGGACAAAATTCCAAAAAATATCTTAATAACTGATTTTATCTATGACTATATAAAAAAAGAATTTTTAGATTTTGCATTACGAACATTTTATTTGTTGATGAAATAGTGAAAGCTATGAATTCCAATGTATGGATTGGTCATTGTAATTTGTAGAAAATAAACCCACTTCTTTTTCCCTAAAGAGGGTTGAACAATGAATGTCGGCAAACCACCATTTTCAAATTATTGATAATCACATTTTATTTTATTTATCATCTAAGAGGAGAGAAAATTAAGAAAAGACATGTGGATATTATCTGTGGAATATTTTTTTTATTAAAAATTAAATAAATAAAGCATGCGAAGATATTTTTAAGAAACCTACATAATGATTTTTTCCCCTTGGGTTCACTGGCCGACATTCAAGATTTTTATTTTATTTTATTCTTAATTATCTTTTATGATTCGTCGTGGCCTTTACAAAAAGCCAAAATGTAAAGGGCAAAAAATATATAAAAAATAAAAAATCTATATCGTCGTGTA